ATTGAAAAGTGCTACAATACAAACCATTGGTTTGACCCAACTTTATTAGTTAGGAAGAAGGATTTGACATTTTCATGGTCTTATTAGAATTTATTTATAAAAATATAAATCCTATACTGACCCATCCACTGATCATATATTATGTTTTCTTATATTTGCTACAGTCTCACAGTCTAATATTTTCTAGTTCCGATGTGATTCATTTTATATAGTTAAACTCGTCATAGAATGCTAATAATATTCAATAAGGCAAATGTCATCACATACTTTTTCTATGCTCTTTCACAAGTCAAAATTAAATATTTAAAATAGTCATAGCATATATAAGAATTCCATCGAAAATATATACATACATACATATTACTTGTTGCATGTCTTGTCATTCAGATTTTTAGAAGTGAAAATATTTTGAAATGTTTGGTTTATAACAGTTTGAAAGATTTAATTAATAATTTGGAACGGCGAAACATTTAATTCAAATATTTCAAAATTGATTCTATGTATCTAAAATTTGTAAAAATTATGTAATAATTTTTTTTGAATTAATTTAAATTTTAATATGAAAAATTAACAAAAGCGTACCCGAATTTTCCCATGTTTCAAATTTTAAAAAAAAAAATTTTATAAATTTGCTTTCTTCCTTAAATCTTTTTAATTAAAAAATCTATGTGATTCTAATTTTAAAATTGCATTATAAGAATTTACTCACTCACTACACAAGTAGAAAAGTGAGGTAGAGAATTTTAGATTCACCTAAATGGAGAAGAAATGCATAATTAAAATATTACTCGTAACTACATTGTAGATGGTAGAATATACATCACAAAATACTGTTTTATAAAATAAATTATTAGTCTATAATAAATATTTTGACTGTAAAATAATTTGAAATATTTCTATGGATACATTAGGTAACACAAATATTGTACACACAATATGTATATGTAAATAAATGCCTTTATAAATATTATTATTTTTTAAATACAAATACTGTTATGTAACCTTTGCTTAAATTTTAATTGGGACAAATATAATAAGAAATTTTTTTCGTAAAGTATAATTTAACAGAAATTCAATCTGAATCAACAAATTTAAATTATCTTAAATTTTTTCATTTTTATTTTTTACACCGTATCATATCAGCATAATATCATTTACATAAACAACATTTATATTTTGTCATAAATATGTATGTATGTACAAGCAGTACATATTGGCTAACACATTAATACAATATTGATTCAATATCGAATTATTGTAGTATAAAGCATAAAATTTCAAGCAGCGGTCATAAAGCATAAATTACAGATAATTACAACGATATGGCAATTCTATCAAATTTATTTGTTATTATAATGCATGTACGTACATACATATAGAACGCATTTTCATATCATAATATTATGTAATTTGAATAACTGATGTGAGACATATTTTATAATATCAATTAACATTAAGATTAAAATAACCAGAATATTTGATATTTTATGTGGTTGTTGAGACATTATTGGTTCTTCAAATTATATTCAATCATTATACTTTTGTCCCACATTTATTATTTTATTTATTTGATTTAATGTTACAATATCAGATTTAATTAGTACACTGACTATATTGCAAAAGTTAAAATTCTTTAAAGTGATCTCGTATCATATAAAATTACAAAACATAAAAAAAAAATTGTTTATATTATTGCTTTTAATTATAGTTCTTTAATTTTAATATTATTAACATTATTATTGAAAAACATTAACTTCTTTGATAAAAAAAAATTAAATTAAAAAGTTTTGTTAAATAATAAAAGAAAACAAATTTTTACTTATGGATATATGTATGTAAATAAAATCTAAATTTTTGTGGTTTACAAGAAAAACTGCCTAAGTCAAAAAAAAATGTGATTCGAGTTAAGTTGAATGAAAATTGAATTGTTATACCCGTGCGAACGTATGTTCGGACGGTATACTAAACTTGCCTTACCGTCTGTAACGCTAAAAAATAATGGTCTGAGATATAGACTCAAGTGTATGTTTTTGATCAACTTCGAATTCAAAGGCGATTCAGCTTTGTCTATCCGTGTGTCCATCCGTTCGTCCCAACGATAACTCAAAAACCAATTGAGCTAAGTTCACCAAATTTTCACATATGATTTATTGTAATAAGTGCCAGAATCCAATTAAAAATGGGCATGATCAGGGTACCGGTTCGGGCAGCTGCCATACAACTTCAAAATTTATTTGGATATATCTCAGAAACTATAGAAGCTGTATTATAGAAATTTTACGCAAACGAATATATTAGTAGGGCCAATGTGTCTCATAAAAGTCGTTGGTTTTACTTGGCTCCTTCTGGTACCTGCCATACAACTTCAAGAGTTATTTGGCTGTATCTCAGAAACTATATAAGCTATGGTATTGAAACTTCACACAAACGAATATACCAGTAGGGCCAATGTGTTTGATAAAAGTCGTTGAAATTGCTGGGCTCTTTCTGGTAGCTATCATACAACTTCAACAGTAGTTTGGCCATATCTAAGAGAATATTGAAACCGCAGTACTGAAATTTTGCATAAAATAATACGGTAACTTAAAGTCATAGTCTGTTCCATAGTTAGCTAAGATATATTTTTACCCACATAGGATAACAAATTCGCACGGGTATTACAGAGTTGGCACGGCCAACTCTATTTATTCTATTTTTGAGTTGTTTCTTTTTTAGCTTTGTTCATAATTTGTGGACTAAATGAATAATCGCTAAACTTCATCTCATAATAAAACTTATAAAAAAATCAAATTTTAATGCAAACAGCTGTGAAGCTTGATTTTGAAGTTAAGATTTAAGTTTGGAAAAAAAAATTGATTTGGTCGACTTCTAGGCTAAATACATATATGTACAATTTGATACATAAATGAAACTGATTAAAATAATGTAGTAGCTAGATTGAATTTCGAAGTGGTATTTTCAATTGTTAAAAGGAAAAGTGCTTCTTTACAAAGAACTGATTTGACCTAACTTTATTTCATTTAAAACGTAATTTGAAAAGAAAAAGTAAAATGCTAAAATCAAAAGTTAAAAATTAAACTATGCATTTTCTAGAAATCTAGAGTAAGTATACAGAGTTTTAGGTGGTTGTTACTTGTAATCATAGAATTCTTTAAAGTTTTCAAATGTATGTGTGAATGGTAAAGTGTTCAAAAAACTATCATAAAATTTAATTTTTTACGTTTAACATTTTATTTGAAATTTATTTATAAAAATATTTAAATCTTGCAACTCCACAAAATGTGAAGATGAAATATAAAGTTAACGATTATGATAACTATAATTGCAAACTTAATTATTAAATTTAAATTATATTTGTTAAATATACAAAATGAAGTATATTGTATAAATTAAGGTTAAAATAAAAAAAATTCTTAAAATCACGAGGCTTTTTGTGGAAAATAATTTAGCCTGTATAAAAAGTATAAAAATTTTATTAAGAGAGTAAATTTTCAATTGCAAAAAAAAACATATTTCGCTTATAACTGGAATAAGGATATGTGAAATTGTCTGAAAATATTGCATAATATAAATAAAAAGCTTACATTTCAACTTCCTTATGACGCAACATTCAATACTAATTTCTGTAATTTGTTTTGTTCTTGTGTTTCTTTTTAAATTAACGGTTTTGTGACGTAAGCAAGATCATTAACAATCTTTTTTATTTAATTTTAAATAAATTAAATTGTTTATTATTTCAATTTAATGTTATTTTTAAAACTTATGATTCAATTTCCTGCAAGGTATTTAAAAAAAATATTGGTATAATAAAATCATATTACACACGAAAAACTTATTTTGAATAATTTAAATTCTCCAAATTTAACATTAATATTTACAGTGGTAATTTACTAGAGAATGTGAGTGATTCATTATATAAATTTCATGTAACTTTAACTAGGCATAAGTATACTTTTTTTAAATAAGCTTTGATGTTCATAATTTCCCTATGTTGCTTAAAAACGGAAACTAAAAATAAAAGATATAAAAAAACAAACATAATGATTATTTACTTGTCAAAAATTTTAACATAACAGTGAAAAAACACACCGTAATTGTAACATTTAAAAAAAAGAATAAGAGAGAAGACAAACTCTAAGATCATTACGTATTGCCACGCAGAAATAAATTTTAGTCGAATGGTTGATTCAGTAGCTGTTAGAGAGACAATATTTTAGAATTAAAATGACAGTTTTACTGAAAATTCACGTAATGTATGTAAATGTTTGAATCTGTGAAGGTGATGTATAAGTTGATGAAAACGCATAAAAAATTGAAAGTGCCCATTACCTCTCAAACATTTCACAATTTTGACGGGCATGACATACGTAAAAATCAGAACTGTTTATAAAATGCATGTTTATAGCAAGAATAAATGAGCAATGTTCTTCTAAGGAATTTTTGCAACCCGAATAAACTACATATAGCTGTTTGTTTCTGCATTCAGGGTCAAGTTGCAAAATATTATGCTTATTATGCAAATGTTTCTGTGTATAAAATTTGTATATAACCCAAAATGCGGAGCCCAGAATAATCGGAAAATAAATTTGTTTTCTAAAAAATTAAAATACGTTAGAGAAAAGTTATTCGCCATAACGTTACGTTTAATTGTTAATATGTGTATTGCTTATCATCGCTTAAACTCAATAAAAATTTAAAATTTAGGAAATCGCTTAGACTAGTTATAAATTTTTACTGCGTTACAAACGAAAATACAAAATAAATAACAGCTTTTGGGTATTATGCATAAGGTTATAAAAACTGTTATCAGTAATCAGTTCCTATTATCTTCCTATAAAATTATTACCGAAACATCATACTTTCATTTAAAATTTAAATTTTATTAATTTTTAGTCGTTCTTTTTAAGTGAATTAGTCTAGTCGCTAAATTCTATAAAATAAATTATGTACATTTTATTCAATTAATTATATATGAGAAAAGTAAAAGGAAAAAATATTGGCAATAATAATTTTGCATTAATTTGTTAAAAATTTTATTATTATTATAATTATTTAAATGTTTAATTAATTAAAATTTATTTTCCAAATATAATTATACTAAATTTATTTCAATACATGCAGATACACAAAGATATTTTAGTACCAATAAAAAGTCTGAAAAAATATAGTTATGATTCTTAAAATAAAGTGTCTTATATTAAGTACTTTGATTTTTAACACGGTCAATAGTTTTCCGCAGTTTACAATAACAAAATCTAATGATGATTTATTCCCCTTGTCTATAATTCACGTGAATGATTTTCATGCAAGGTTAGTTTTTTTTTCAATATTTATTTAATGTACTATATACGAGTACTAGTGTAGTATGTGATATTGTTTGTGCTATGTTTTGTAAATTTATGTACTCGTATTGTCTTGCTAGTTACATTCAAAGTTTTGTATATAAAATTAAATTCGATCATAAATAATAACTAAAGAAATTCAATTGAATTATTAATAGCAGCGATATTCTGTGCAACAAATCTATTCTAACATTAATTATTTAATGTACTTTATACATTAACTTGGTAGGTAAATTAAAAGCAAAAAGAAAACATAAAAAAAATCGTTATTTTAACTTAATGTATGTACATTGAGAATGTTGATACATATATAAACCTATAAATATTATTGTATGTCGGTTTGTAAAATTTATAAGAAAAAAAAATAAGAAAGAATTATGATCTAAACGTGATCGAGTTATAAGTCAGTGTTTTAGTTCTTTTATTTTAGTTTAGTGTTGAGTCGCGTCGAGGTGATGTTTTAAAACGAAAAACATAAAAAACAGTAAATAATTAAAAAAAAACATAATTAAATCAAATCAAATTAAATTTTTAAGGATAACCACTCATTCAAACGACAACAGTAAAACTCATCTATACATTAATGAACTTAGTCCTGGATTAATAAAAAAACAAAAAAACTAGAAGTGAAAAATTCCTGCCATATATTCGTTACCACAATATTTTCATACATTTAAAGTGCTCTCCAATTCTCTTAGTGAATAAAAAATTAAAAAAAGAGATAAAAATTATTCTCGTATAACATAAAAAATAACTTTAATTTTTCAATTTAAAAAAGAAAAATTCTCTGAAATTAATCTTTAAACAAAATAATCGAAGTTTTTTATTTTTGAAAATGAGTAAATTAAGCCGTCAATTATCAGATTTATCAGATTTAAGTGCTAGTGAATTGAATGAAGCAATTGATGATACCAATTTTCCTCATACTAATGTTACAACACAATGTGGTCGTAGTAATAATAGTAGCAAAATTTATGAGATAATACAAAATGATGGTGAGTCATCTGAAAATGATATAACTGATATTAATAATCATTCATCATTAAATGATATAACTGAAACAACAACAAAAATTATTAATGGATTAATTAATAACAATAATAATAATAACAACAGCAATAACAATATTAAAAGTACATTAAATATAGATACAAATAAAAAACCGACACGTGAAGCTTTATTACCTGAACTATCATCATCATATCGTTTATTATTAAGTGGTTTAGGTGAGGATCCAACACGTCAAGGTCTATTAAAAACACCAGAACGTGCTGCAAAAGCAATGTTATTTTTTACAAAAGGATATGATCAAAGTATAGAAGATGTTCTTAATGGAGCAATATTTGATGAAAATCATGATGAAATGGTTGTTGTTAAAGATATTGAATTTTTTTCAATGTGTGAACATCATTTAGTACCATTTTATGGTCGCGTATCAATCGGCTATTTACCATGCAATAAAATTTTGGGCTTAAGTAAATTAGCTAGAATAGTTGAAATATTTTCAAGGCGTTTACAAGTACAAGAACGTTTATCAAAACAAATTGCGGTTGCTGTAACACATGCTGTACAACCAGCTGGTGTTGCTGTCGTTATAGAAGGTGTACATATGTGTATGGTAATGCGTGGTGTACAAAAGATTAACAGTAAAACTGTAACATCAACAATGTTAGGTGTTTTTCGTGATGATCCAAAAACCCGTGAAGAATTTTTAAATTTAGTTAACAAATAGTAAAAAATATTGAAAGAGGACAAAAAAAAAGAAATAATAAAAAAAATAAAAGAACTCAGAAATCTGAAATGGATTTTTAAATTGGAGTAGAATGAATTATTAAAATATTAAGCAATAATGAAAAAAAGTTTACAAATAAGAAAATTCTGCTTATCCTTAAATTAGCAATACACTCCCCTTTTCAATTTTCTTAAATATGTCAACCTACACACGCGTATCACTGGTTTTCTTTCAAACAAAAAAAACAGCAAAACAAAATAAAGTTAATGTGCAATATTTTAATAAAAAAATTATTATTAATATTAAAATTCTATCTAAGTATTGTAATTGAATTGTAAAAAATCTAATATTAAAAGTTATGTATAATAAAATGAAGAAAAAAATTAATTACATTAAAAACTATTATCTTTTATTCATAGAATTTAGTTCCGTTTTTTTTATCATTTTTTTAAGTTAATAAAGTAAGTTATACACATATAAACCTTTTAAAAATCGAGCTCATTAAAAAAAAATAAAATTAATCAAACCACTTTTTAAATGTTTGTTCAATATACAATAAGTAAAATCTCAAAGCTTTCATTTGTACTTTATATAGGAACTCATAAATTAACTTACAATACAAATAAAATTATTGTAAATCGTGCTTAACAAATGTCCTATATAAAAACTAAAAATTAAAATATTGGATAAAATTCCTGCAATAAATTTTACTATGTCAAGCACCCCCATGTCATTTTATTAATTTAAAATTAAAAGTATAATATATTCTATGTTAATATTTAAATTTTTAAAATTCAATAAATTGAATCATTATAAAACAATTAACCTGACTTCCATAGTTATAAAGCGTACTAAGTTTTAATTAATCATAGAAATAAATTTACAATTACAATAAGTTGGAATATTTGTAAGTGTTTTATAAAAATATTTTACAAATATTTTTCTATAAGTAATATTGTAACACATTATAGGATTTTATAATTAATAATCAATTCTAATAGTGAGATAAAATATATAACAAAAATTTCGATAAACTTAACAATTTCATCATTTTTAATTGCTTTGCTTAAAAACGTTAAATTTTTCAAGGGTAAATTAATTATTTTTCAATTTACTAATGATATGATTTAAAGTTGAACTTTTAATTTTCTAAAAAAGAGAACACTTTAAAAAAATTCCAATTTATTTCTATTGATTAAATTAAGCTATTTGAATTTTAAATATTCTAATCATATTCCTCAAATTAATTTTATTATAAAAACCGCCAGCTTTTTTAACTCTTAGAATCAAAATCCTTAAAACGTATATTAGCTCACCTATTTTATTTTAGTAGTTTACATGCTATCAATTTTGTTTGAAAAACTTATATAAAAAAGATTAAACGAGTTTAACAGATATTTAAGTAAACTAAATAAATTAAATTTGAAAAACAAAATATTAATTTATAATCGCAGCTATATACTTTGAGATTAAAAAAACAAAAATAGTGTATCCTAATACTTGTAATGTATCTTTATAAAATGCTCTTAAATATTTTTAAAATTTTATATTCGCATATTTAAAATATTTAAAAAATTAGAAACTAGCAGAACTTGACATATATTTAGGATAAACTATGAGCTTAATGAACAACATAAAAATTATTTGAAAATTTCAAATATTTTAAAATTTTATTTATTCTCTATGCTATAAAAAATATTAAGCAAGACAATTAAGAACAAAAACACTTAAACAAATGTCTCATGAAACATATGGTTGTATGTATGGATATGAGAATGTATAACAAATCTAATTTACCATTATTGAATAATTATCATCTTTTATAAAAAAATCAATTAGAAACTATTTTATATAAAAAAAACTATAGATATTTTTTAGTTGACCAGATCAACTGAAGGATACATGATTGCGTTGATAATCGCAGTTATAACAATAATTACTTATATTTTACATTAAATAAATACAGAAAACTTATTATTAGATGATATTTAGCAAAAAAATTAGCTTTACATATATGAAATTTAATAATTAATTTGGTAGTTAAACAACTGCACTGGAAAGTATCTTGACTCACAAAAAAACATTTTATTAATCACCATATTCTGGTAACAGTATCGCATAATATTTTGGTAAATGTATATGTGAGAGTTAAGCTTACAACTTTGACGTGATATTAAATGTTAAAATCATCACGTGTGGTTTGTAAAAATTTTTATACCACGTGATAACACATAATTTTTTATCACCTCAATGTTTATATTCGATAGACCATCATGGGAAGGTCTTTTAGTTTAAAACTTAAGGTGAGATCGAAAAACCGGAAGAAAATTTACGTTTTATTTTAATATTTAAATACTTATATTCCAAATTTTTTTACAGTAGTGTAGGAAATTTCAAAGGATTTTAACTATTCCGAATATGTTGAGTCATGCATAACTTTACAAAATTATCTTAAAAAAATTGCTAAAAATCTGAGTATTGCTTTTTAATTTTTAATTAGCTATTAATACTACCAACCTAAAAGCATTTCTTGTTTGTATAAGAAGTGCATCATTATAAAAGTGTGTTTGTGTTGAAAACTCAACATTAAAATATTTAGTGCAAATACAATTCTTTCCTCATCAAATATAGTTCAATCATATTCATCATTTTCCTTTGATTGAATTGAATACTAGTTTTGTTATTAACTAGACATTTTTACTATTGCAAATTAGTACTTAATGTATGACAAATTTTTTCTGTATGAAAAAATAAAATTGAAAAACAAATTATTTAGCAGTTTCTTGTGTGCATAAGAATGTCGATATTTTATATTCAATTTCTCAATATTATAAATGCTAAAGTAAATTTATAACAATCAATATGAAATGTACACAATAACCAAAGCCAACCTTGAAAAGACTGCAAATAAAAATTCTCAATAATTTGAACCGATTTAATAAGGTTGTCATTGAAAAACTATTCAATAATTACGGTCATTAAAACTTTAAGTGTCTGTCAAAGTCAAATACTATTCTAAAGTTTTAGCATATGTATATATACTTATAGTTGAATACGCTTTAACATTCAATTATATTATTGTGCTTACGAGTAACTATAAAATGATTTACTTTTAAGTTCCACTTAAAAAAAAACAAAGATAATCGTAATATCATAAATTAATTAGTCAAAAATTATTCTCTTATGAATAAATTAAAAACAGAACAAAAAAACCTAAAAAATTAGTAATGTTAAAAAAAAATCACTTTGTTTTGTGATACTTACACGCTATAGGTATTTTAAAGTGAAAAAAGGTAAAAAAAATATTGATACGAATTCAAACGTATCGAGGTCAACATAAAATGTGCAAAAACTGTAATTATAATTAACGCGAATTTTCAAGTGATTATACAACAATTTTTTCATTTTATTAATTTATTAATAAAGAATCGGAATAGCAAAACAAAAAATATTTTTATATAAACTTTTAAAGTAGAAAAAATTCTATTTAGCTACATAGCCTTATTTTGATAGTAAGTAACGCTTATTGAATTTACCTTAACCTTCAATAAATAAATATTTTGGAATGTAATCAATTAAGTATGTAATTACATTATTGTTTCTTTAACATTAAGAAACTATATTAATAAAAATTTTAAAATTAAATTTAATATACGTTGTGAGAAAAAAGAACGAAGATCCTTTAAATTTTTCAAATTACCACACTAATTCATTCACAAATTACCACAACAATTCATTTGTAAGAACATAATATTTTTTAAAATATTGTGAACCTTTTAATATATGCTAAAGCTAGCATAATTGCATCAGTAATCATTTACGTTATTCACATCAAAAATGGAATGCGTGCACTTACCTACTTTACTTTAAAATTTTCCCTTATTGAATTTTTAATTTGGATTCAAGTCTTTTAAGACTTGAAGCTATATGGAATATTTTAATAGCAACTTTGTTTAATTTCTCCTGGAATAATGATAAACTTGATTAGAATAAGAATTCAAGTATATTACAGAACCGTTGCTTACTTCAAATTTTTCTTTGAGTTATCAAAATTTATTTTGAGCCGCTGAATTTGTAAGACCAACTGAGTTTGAAGATTTTTCAACAATTGAATAAAATGCACGTTGCAAAATTGGAAAAATTAAATGAACTTTGAAGAGAAATATTAAAATATTGTGGCATTTGTTGGGGTTGCTTTTATCCAGCTTTTGTATTTATCCGTATTTCATTTATGCTTTTAAATTTATATGAAAATACAGTAATTTTCAAACCTTTTAACCATTAACATTCCATAACTTTTAATCCTGCTTTGTTAAGCAATGAGCAAACGTAATCGAATATTCAGCTAAAGGCTGTCGAAAGTATAGTTTAAAAAATTTATTTAAAAATAGAAAATTATTTCAAAATTAAAAGTTTTTAAAACAGCGCAATAAAATTATACCTTACGAAAGGTGTTCCTTGCGAAGAATCTTCATATTGTCTCCAATAAAAATAAGAATACTCTCGAGAATAGCCTTTTTCTTCTAGTAAGTACAAAACTTTACAATACTACCAATATTATAAGAGACTTGCTTTTAATTAACACAATTAGAACTGCTACAGAATTTGTAACAGAAATTATAAAAAGCGCTGGTGTAACTTAGCAATCAAAGAAGCAACCTTGTTTCACTTGTGATACTAAAAATAGATGGGAACTATAAATCACTAAAGAAATATTCTTATTTCAGCAAATTAATGTCCCAAAAGAAAACAGTACATATTTTTGTATATTATTAGAAATTTTTTCAACACTCTGAAATACAGCAATAATGAAATTTAAAAAAGTTATTTAAATTTAACTCATGCTACTTTTTTTTTAACCAAGATCTAATAACTGACATGTACATATAATAATAATAATTTTTATCAAACTATTATTAAATTTATTGAAAAAGTATACAACCTTTCGTGTATCAAATCAAAGACAAAACACTTGTATTAAAAAAATCTGTAAAAGTAGAATTTAAAACGTGTATAAATTAAGCAAAATCAATTCAATTTCTGTTATTCTAACATATAATATACAGAAATGTATATATTTAAGTTGATTATTTAAAAGCTACTACACACAGAATTAACCCCAAAATGCTTATGTACATTTGTACACGAAAAATATTAATACAATTAACATATAAACATAAAATTAATTTCATTAATAATTCAAAGCAATATGTAAGACTTTTATAATTGTCAATTAAAATTCATATTTATGTAGATTATTTTATTTAACTAATATAATAATTAATTAACAAACTAAATATTGCATTCCAATTATAATATGCGAGCTTAAAGTAAAGTGATTTCCGTATAAAATACCTACCAATTAATTGAATACATGTTTAGTAAATAGTATTATGCAAAAGATGATGAAATACTGAAATTAAAGAGACACAATAATACATCAATTTGAAATAATTGCAATATTTAATAAGTTAGAATGAAACAATTCCTTTCATTTGTTTACTATTTTAATAATATCTGTTGGAATTACAACTTTCTTTGTATTTGAATTTATATTGAAAGCAAACAGATACGAAAAAATAATATCAAGGGAGTTGTTCCTTTCTTAACATTTATAAAAAAATTTTAAAATTCAATCTGAAAATACTCTATTTTTCAATATTTAAACATATTCGACAATACAGTTTCAATAATTATACTAAATTTATATATGTACAATCTAAAGTACTGAAATTTATGATTCATCCCTGATAAAAATTCATTTATTCTAACTAATATCCTGAAACTCTGAATCAATATATGAATGCATGGTACTGAGGTAAAATCAGGTACTCGAATTTTGTTTGGCGTCTGAAACAAATAATCTAATAAATAGTTTTCTTATTATTTCTCTACACAACAGATTTAAAAATATATTTAGTGCTTATTTTTAAAGTGTGAAGGAATATAACATACAAACTGAGTACAAAATACGAGTATATCACCATGAACACAGTCCCTTCTTGGTTTTACAACTGTAACTACTTATATTTCTTACTTGTATTCATAAATTAACATGTGCATAAAAGTATATACATATGTATATACTTTTATAATTTAAAGGTTACTCAAGAATTATGCAATATTGCAACAAAATTTTAGTGTAGCATTTTTATCTAGTATCGGGTTAGTATCATAAACGTGCCTATGCTTAAACAGTTAACTTATAATGGACAAATATTATTTAACATTTACTAATTACATTGGAAGGCAAATTACCTTAACACATTTTTTAACAAATTTTTTGTAGAGATTAAAACTGTTGATTGATGTAATTTATATTTTTTCATTTAAAAATTTACAAACGTAATAATTGAGGTTAAATACATAAAATATTCATTTTAAGAAATTTTGCTAACATACGGTTTCCATCAAAAATAATAAAACCAGAAAATCTAATTTCTATTTGTTTCGTTTTACAGGTTTGAAGAAGTCGATCCTTGGGGTGGTCCATGCAAAAGTGGTAGCCAATGTGTCGGAGGCTACTCTAGAGTAGTATACAAAATTAAGGAGCTAAAAGAGATACGAAAAGACAAAAACCCAATTTATTTAGACGCAGGAGACAATTTTCAAGGAACACTTTGGTATAATATCGGTAGATGGAATGTAACGCAAGAATTTCTTAATTATTTACCAGCAGATGCTATTGTAAATAAAAACTATAGCAATTTAATTATATTATTATAAATTTAAAAACTTATTTTATAGACAATTGGTAACCATGAATTCGATAATGATATAGAGGGTTTAGTTCCGTTTTTAGAAGCCCTCAAAGCTCCAGTTGTTGTAGCAAATATTGATGACAGTAAAGAGCCAACTATACATAATTTGTATAACAAATCAGTAGTTATTGAAAAAAGTGGTAGAAAAATTGGTATTATTGGTGTAATACTTGAATCAACCAATGTAAGTATTACTATTATTCATAATTAAAATTGTAATCAAATTAGATAAAAATTTATTTTATAAAACAGGAAATTTCTAATACTGGAAAATTAATATTTTTAAATGAAAGCATTTCAGTAAAAGAGGAAGCTGAAATATTAAAATCGAAAGGAGTAAATATTGTAATAGTTTTATCGCATTGTGGTTACGATGTGGATCAAATTATTGCTAAAAATGTTGGGCCCGATGTCGATGTTATTGTTGGAGCTCATTCGCACACCTTTTTATATTCAGATAGTCAATTACCCGGCCCCGACAAACCTAGAGGACCTTATCCAACTCTCGTAACGCAAGAAGATACTAATCATACTGTATTAATTTTACAAGCCTCAGCTTATTCAAAATATGTTGGAGATTTAACAGTTTATTTTGATAAAAAAGGAATTTTTCAATATTTTGAGGGGCAGCCTCATTATATAAATTCGGAGGTACCAAAAGGTAAAACAAAAATTTAATTTTTAATTCGATTTCATGTATGACTTTTAATAAAAACGTTAAATAGTATAAAGGTAGTTATTTAACGATATTGCAAATAAATTTAATCATTTCTTAAAAAAAAAGGAAAAATAATTGCAAATATTTTTCTGTTCAAGATCCGTTTATAGAAAAAGCTTTGAAACCATGGAAATCTATTATAGACACTCGAGGAAATGAATTAATTGGATACACTGCAGTTGAATTAACAAAATCCGATTGTGGATCTGGCGAATGTAATTTAGGAAATATGTTTTCTGATGCCCTTGTATATGAGGTGGATATTATATTTTGATAATTTTAAATTTTCAAAAGATTAATGAATTCAATAATATAAACAGGGTTTATCATTGCCCGTAAGTAATTCTAATTATTGGGCTAACGCATCCATTGCAATTGCAAATCAAGGTAGTTTACGGATTCCTTTAGAAAAAGGAAGTATGTTGGTACATTATTTTTAAAAGAATTAGAAAGTGCTTAAACAGTCTATTACCTTTTTTAGTTTAAATATAAAGTTGAAATTAACAATTAAAATAAAAATTAGCTAAAAAACAGTTATCTAGTTAAAAATCAAATTTTTAAATTTTGATTTTTAAATTTAAAATTTTTTAAAATTTTCAATTTAAGACTTAACATATAGCCACCTAGTAACATTATCACCATTTGAAAATAAACTTGAAGTTTTGAGTATTAAGGGAAAATATTTACTTCAAGCATTAGAGCACAGTGTCTATTCAGCAAATCATTTATCACCACTATCGTGTGCTATTGATAATGATGAAGTTAACTTTAATTTTCGAAATATGTTACAAGTATCTGGAATGAAAATTGTATACGATTTAAATAAACCGGATGATCAACGTGTTCAAAGTGTTTTAATAAGATGCTGGGAATGTCAAATACCAAGATATAATAAGCTTGAGGAAGATGAAACATATAGAATAATTACAACTAGTTTTGTCGCTGACGGAGGAGATGGTTACAGTATGATAAAAGAAAATAAATTTGATACTAGGTAGGTATATGCATATATACATACGTCTGTATAAAAATATATTAATATTTTTAAACAGACATAAACACTAAATAAAATGTAATTAAATTTTGCATTTTACATCTTCTATAAAATTTATTGAAAAAGTTATTATAATTTTTCTATTTTTTTTGTTTGTTTTTAGCGAATTTTCTTCAGATGTCGAGGCTGTAACAAATTATGTAAGACATAATTCACCAATAACAACAGGAAAAGAGGGAAGAATTCGATTTGTATAAAAAATCGATTTTGAATAAAAATAAATTTTATTAATACTTAATATATTAAGCTAGGAAAAAATTATAATAAAATGTTTATCTTCTAAATGTAAGGCAACTTTTATTGATATTTCTAACTTTATTTTCTCATTCCTATGATATTTTCCATATAATATAGCAGCTAGACAAATCAAATTTTAATTTGTCATTCTTCGAACAGAAAATCTGAAACCAATAAGTTTTTTTTACGTCGCAATAAAAACGCTACTATCAACAGTAATTTTTATTAATAACAAATTTTCAAAATGGATTATATTATTATCTAAAAATAAACAGATGAATAGATGATGAGTCTGCTCTGCGAAATTTACTTATATACATATACCATACTATGTATTAAATATATAAACAAAATTAGATCTCATATAACTTTACTTTATTTTACAAATGCGTTATAAATAATATTTTTCTTTGGTATAAAGTGTGGATTTTATACGAAATTACTCTTTATTCAAATTGATTATAATAAATGCAGTAAAAGAAAAATACCTTGAAAATTCCATTTAATCTTTTAATCAAAAATTTAATAAAATCTTGTAACGAAGGATTACCTACTTAAAAAATAATTAAATTATATGTGAAATTTAATTTAAAAAATCTTATTGAATTCTGGAAAATCTTATAAGTTTGTCACAAATAAAATTGAAGCGAATATTTTTCAGAAATTAATCATAAAAAAGGTGTATAAAAGTTCTCTCATTATTCTATACAAAATTAAAAGGTAATATGACACACGAATCAATAAATACATAAACGAAAAAAATACTAATATTCAAATAAATTATCAACTTAAAGCTAATAATTTTTTTCTTATACATAAAAAAATAATTATATATTTTATTTTTACCTTCATCTTGATTTTTCCCTTTATGTACACTAAGATAAATTAGGAGGAGGGAGGAAATAAAAAAAAAGTTATTCTTGCTTTAACGAAATACGTCCAGAGCACTAAAGAAGAATAAAAATGAAGAATAAAAATGAATGATAAAACCGACCGAAGGGCAGAATGAAACTAATAAGCTTGAAACTAAAATGTTTTTAAGAGGCTTACATTTTCTAATGTTCTTAATTGCATAAAGTTTTTTGCACTTTTTCAACAGTATTGGAAGAAAAAGTGCTTATAAAGTTATAAAAGCTCAAACTGAAACTACTCTATCTGTTCGTTTGTCCGTGCGTTTGTTTACAAAACTTCTACTGGCTTTGAGACAGGCTACACAAAAAATCTTGGCCATTGGTGCAGTGGTTATGACACCGGTCCTTTAACCGAAGAATCTCGAGTTCGAACCCCGCTCAGGTCACTTTAAAAATTTTATTTAATATTATAGCTTTAATATACAATACTTATGAAATAACAAATTAGCATACAAGTAATTTTCATATATTCATAATTAATTCCATATTAAAAATTAAGAATAATAAACAATAAATATTAATAAGCTTAAATATTAAATATAAAGAAAAAAATTACGTAACGCAATAAGTAGTGGTAGGAGTGGAAAAGGAGAAAAAAAAGTACGAAAAAAATTTTTATCAATCCCGCCCCCTTAAGAGAAGTTTTAACTAATGTCTTTATATCTAACAAATCCCAATGCTCAGAGAGAAACTTGAAAGCACACCTTATTTGATATGGGTTTTTTTAAATCGAAGTGGCTATTTTTTGAGAAGAAATATTAAAATAAATTCACACTTATTATAAAGCAGATAAAATTTAGAAACTATATTTGAAAAATCAAAAAAATATATTAATATTTTCATTCATAATTATTTTAAAATTTAAAAAAAAGCGGAAAAACAACAAGCACATCCTTCGCCTTCAACGTTTTATATGTTACTGAAAGCATTTCATTATTTTTAAGTGAACAGCTTTTTTTTCTCATAGGGTAAGTTAACTCAAGATATGGGGAGTAACTGTGGTGTCAAGTTGAAAATATAATTAATGAAAGATAATTCTTAAATATTGATATAAATACCTAGTAAAGAAAAAATTTGAAGAGAGAATTAGAAAATAATATCTAAAATACAATCAAATATTAACTGTTAAATACAAATTTTATATAAACTTCAAAATTTTACCTCTATTTTTATTTGAAAAAATATTAAAAACTTACTATCATTTATATCAATTACCTAAGAAAAAAAAATATTTAAAATGTTTGGAAAAAACAATCATATATTTTTATGACCGGATTTGAATATTTTTCTATTTTTGAAATAAATGGTATTTTACCAAATGACTCAAAAATTCCGACTGTAAAATAACAGGTATTTTAAAAATTTTGTTCAGGTATTTTAAAATTCTTTCCGTTTAGAATTAAGATAGGTCATACATACACATGCAGGGACATTTTATAAATAGATTGCTCTTGTTTACCTGCTAATAAAATATGAAAAAAGAGCACAGTAAAATTTTTGAAGCACTCAATATAACATGTTTGAAGTAGTTTTAAAATAATTATTTAAAAAAAAATTTATTGGAAGTAGGTACATACATATTTATTTTTAATAACTTAAAAACTAACTGAAATTATTTGAAACAATTTTATAAGTAACGTATGAATAATCGAAATGAGATAATTCAAATTGTTGAAATGTGTCAACCTATATTACTTTTAATAACATTTTTGTTAGCCGACACTACTCAACTTGCCTTATTGGGAAATACAAAATGTGCATGAAAAATCATACATACTTCCTCATTAACATTTGAAACCATACTGAAATATGAATTTGAAATTTTTTTTTATTTTTTCTTTCCTCCTACCTTTCTTTCTTTTTCGTGCAATAGAATTTAAATGGGAAGCTTTTCAAAAAATGTGTATAATATCCTGAGATTTTTTAAAATATTAATCTCTTTTTTACGTAAAAAAAAAGAAAAAAATAATAAAAAATATGACACGATCAGTGGCATTTAAAGAAAAAACCAACAACGAGGCCAAAAATTCGTAACATTTCGTAAAAAAAATTGAGTATTGGGACTTGTTAGATATAAAGACATTACTTTAACCCTTCAAAAATATCTAAGAATATCATTTTCAAATAATTTACTGAATTGAAAATTATGCAAACGTAGAAAAATAGCAACTTGACAGAGTTTAAGGACTATCGCAATATGATTTTGAATATCTTATAAAATAATATTTACGAAAATAAAGAAAACTCTTTGATTCATTCATAAAATTTAAAAGTAATTTACCTTAATAAGTATTATTAAATGAAATTCTATATTTATTTAATATTGAAAAAAATATTATTATCATAATATTTCAATTATTAAAATTTCGACGAAATAAAATCAATTTCAATTCAATAAAAGATAAAGTTTACTTAATTGTTATATTTTTTATGAAAAGTGAAAATAATTTCATGATAATTTTGGAAAATTCTATATATATTTTTTATTTGTTCCAAAATCACTTTATGAATAGCATTAAATTTCCAAATATTTTTTGTAGATTTTTTTATACAAAATATATATTTTTATATTTAAATAATTGATGAGCTCATGGTATGCAAATGAAATTTGGTACACGTTGTTTAAATAAAAAATTCTTGACATGAAAAATAAACAAGCAAAAAAAAAATATTAAATATCTATGAACGTTCATTCGATTACAATTTTTTATTTTATTTTTTTTCATTTTCTTTAAAAATATTTCAATTCGTCCTATAGGTTCAACGTGCAATATTCATAAACTTCACTAAGATAAATCTAACGAAAAATTCTACTAAGGACTAAAATATACTTTTTTAGTTTTTTTAATAAAAAATCTTAAGGAGCATTTACAAAATTTGTTCATAAAGTTAAAGCTTTGAAATACACGATTATTTTAATAGGAATTTCTTTATAAAATATTTCAGAAAATATTTTGAAAAGTATTAAAAGATTTTCAAATTTACACAAAAATTATTATACATAAATTCTTTTATCATTCTGGGGGTTTTGAAAAACATAACTTTATCTTACAACTTCAGGGTCGCCTATTTTTTTAAAACGCTTAAGATGTCTAATTAGCAGCTCTAAGTGTGCGATATTGAAATGGATTCATGCATTACCATCGGAAACAAGCACATTTTCCACCTGCATTTTAATCGGGTATAATATTGAATAGAGACGATGATAATAGTTAAATTTTTAACGAATAGTTTTCAAATACCGAACAAGCACAACATTAAAACCCAATTGATTAAAGGATAAATTTCTTTTGAATTCAAACTACATAATTTCTTTTTATCAGCAAATATTTGTCTCAACAACTTTTATATCTAACTTGACAAATTTTGTTGCTAAAATTCCGTAATTTCAATTCTATACTTATTATGTAACACATAGTGTTACACACTATTCCTGAAAAAATTCAAATTAACACTAAATAAATTTATGTACAATACGACGATACAATTGAAATTTTTCATTTACATTTTTGAATAAAACCCCATTACTCTACGATCTTTTGAAATATTGTTTTATTCTTGTGATTGCCTGCCATTAGTATGTTTACCTTTACACTAATATTACGGCATTCATAAAAAGAAAAGTGTTAAAAATTTCTATTCACAAAATGACATTCTACTTTAATCTAGAACAATGTGTTTTATTAAACATTAAATATGTTTATTTAGCTCTATTTTAAAAGGGAAAGCTAGAACTGCAAACATAAAATACAAATTGAAAGAAACAATTTTCCTAGTTCTTTTATGAAAGGCATAATAAGCAATGTTAGGCTTGCCAATGTTTTAACCAATTCTTTTACATACTCCTTATTTTCGTTACATTCGTTTCTTAAGTGTATTTTATCAATAACCTGAAAGTCTGCAGGCCTTATTATATGTTTGTGGATCGCATGGTTCATATTTTTACACTACTTAGAAATTTAAAGTAAACCAACCTTGTACAACTTATTCACATTTGTATACTTTAATACAAAGCTTAATACATCAACTAAATACCTACATGTATTATAACTTAATACATAAACTCAATAACCTGATTTCATAGAAATTTTTCCTTCTAGTTTTCTCCTCTATATTATTTATTATTCTTTTCATT